CCTGGGTCAGTTGCATGCAGGCAAATGCCCTGCCCACTGTACTATTGCTCCAGCCCCTTCCTCTGAAATTTCTCGGTAGCCAAATGCACCAATACACTGCAATTAGAAACAAGGTTCTTCTTGGTCATCTTCACAATTATTGGTAGGGCACAAAGGATTGGAACAACGCATAAAATTCTTATATGTAGAATGTGATATTTCACTGGCAGGGCAGTGCCTTCACTGTACAACCTTTGGAATTTGCTATGTGGAGTTCTGGAAATTTCCTGAACTTGAAACAAGAGAAAAGAGCAGCAAATTTCAGAACATGGCAAGGAGAGACCACTGGGAATCCCAAAGGTCTTCCTCAGGGGTCCCCAATGTGGAAATTCATGTTGCAGTCATCACAAGGTGTTGGGCTGGGATGTGGTTCTGTAGTACAGTTCATGCCTCACATGAGTAAGGCGCCAGGTTTGAATCACAACACCACACACCAAAAGGGATATGATTTTTCCTTTCTCCTCCATGCTTTCATGAATGTGTAGTGGAATTTTCTAGAGGCTGGGCAATGTGTGATGAGGTCATTAGCTCAATTAACTATTGAGGTATGTGCATGTGTATCCTTGGATCTTAAGTTTTCATTTCTAATTCAGAACATCTCAATAGATGCAATTCACATAAACAAAAAATAGCTGGGCTCTCAACTTCTAAGGTCTAAAGGGATGTTGACAGTAGAGCTTTTGGTAACTTATGTCCCATGACTCAGGCTAAATCAAAGAGGAGCCTTGCAAGCAAGAGATTTTGAGTTTGAACTTCAGTGCGGCTCATATGAGCCCAGCACAGTCCTGATGCTCTCCCCCTGGGACTGCTGGCACCACAGCAGAGTGTGAGGTCTCTGGAGCACTACAGTGAAGGATGTGCAAGTAGATCCACTAGAGAGGGGTGATCCCTCAGGGTGCCACAAGCAAACATGCTTATAATTCCCATCACTGCAAAAACAGGTAAGTCAACGAAGGACTCTTTAGGAAGGGAGGGGTGCCAGGGAAGCAGGCGGTGACTTCTGGACTCTGGACACCTTTTCCGACAGGGATTTCAGGGAAGAAGAAGGCAACAAGGGCTGACTCTGGTTTCACAGTCAGACCTGGGTGATTCACTCCAGCATCACCTTTGGCCCCTGGAACATTCAGGTCCTTCATGAGATCCCATTCACATTGGCGTTACTTGCAAAGACTGGCTTCTATTTAAAACATTTCACTCTGTGGCAGGGTATTCCCTTGGGAGGGATACTGGGACCCGTGGTGGTGGAAAATGGGCACTGGTGGAGGGATGGGTGTTTTATCATTGTATAATTGAAACCCAAGCACAAAAATTTGTAAATCAACAACTGTACCTCATGGTGTTTCACTAATAAAAATTAAAAAAATTTTTTTCGCTCTGGCCCAGACAGTAGTACAGGGAGTTTTGAGACAACTACTATGTATGTACCTAAGCACATAAATATCAGAAAGCAAGTAAATAATAAAATTTAATCAACTAAAAACAGTCATGTGTTGGGCTGGAGCAATAGCACAGTGGGTAGGGCTTTTACCTTGCACTCGACTAACCCAGGTTCAATTCCCAGCATCCCATATGTCCCCTGAGCACCACCAAGGGTAATCCCTGAGTGTAGAGCCAGGAGTAACCCCTGTGCATCACTCGGTGTGACCCAAAAAGCAAAAAAACAAAAACAAAAATAGTCATGTGACATCAATTACTCTTGCCAAAACCTCTGAGGACAAACTGCACATCACATTGCCAAACAGCCGTGAGGGGAAGTGTGAGCCTGCCACCAAACAGGGGGTGGACTGAGTTCACTGAGACTCTTATCTACTTAGAGGTCCTGTACAAGATGGGGGACCCATGGTCCTTGGTTCTGCAAGTTTTGTCAAGGCTGAGAGTGGACCTGCTTATCCTGGGCCATGATCTCAGGGTGAGCAGGAAGCTGAAATTCCTCTCTGGGTTCCTTTCCAAAGCATATATATGTTCAGGAAAATAGTCTGTAGCAAATTCTCTGCACAAGTTTCCCCACAGCATTTCCAGACGTGGCAAAAATACCTACTTACTACAAAAGCTCTTCCCAGGGGCCAAGGTTTTCCCTAGGTCACAGAGATGCCAGTCAAGTGAGGTTGTAGCTGGTTCACTGTCCCCAAAACTACCCAGGTGCTGGGTGGCAAACACTCTTCAGCACTTATTGGTACCGGCTTCCAAACTAGAAAGTCACTTATAAGCCTGTTGGAGTAAAGCCACTTGACACAAGTAATGCAGGCTCCCTCTGCCTCTCCTTGTGACAACTATCACCCCACTGGAGAAGAATCTGAGATTTCACAGCCCAAACACTTGTGGAGAAAATCCGCCCCGGGTGCCCCAGCCATCTGAGCCCCATAGAAACTTGCATGGATACCTCCAAGCCCCTAAACTCTATGAACTCACATCTCTAATTCTTGGTATGTTTCACACTCCTCATTTAAAAAAAAGTCTTAATTGAGATTCTGTTGTTTACAATATTTTAATAATGGTTTCTCATATGCACATAATTCCAGCATCACACCCATCACCAGTGTAGCCCCTACTCTCCCAAGGACCCTAACACCTCTCCCTCCAACCCCCCTGGAACTCAGTTGTGTGGATCTCCCATTGGGTTGCCTTTGACCCTTTGTTGCTCCTTTGCTGAGTATCTTAGTCTCACGTATGACAGAAATGGTTCTATATCTGTCCCTTTCCTTCTGACGAACTTTACTCAGCATGATATCCTCTACTTTCATCCATGTTACTAAAAATTGCTAAAAATTGCATGATTTTTTTTCTTTCTTATGGTTGCATACTTTCACACCCCCTCTTGCTCGGCCCTCTGTTGATTTACAAAAAGCCTCTGCCACAAGGTCTGAAAGATATTTTAAGGAACATTCAGTAATGGGAGGTTTCCTGAAGGGAAGGACTGTCTCAGATGCTGAGGAAGCAACTTCTCAGAGGACAGTTTAGGACAATTCTTTGAGTTCTGGACTCAGCTAATTATTTTTCCATGTCCCCAGAACTCCTTCATTTTTCTACCCAAAGAAGTAATAGAAGAATACCCTGTCTACATGAGAGAGCCCATTATTTTGGAACCCATTCTCTTCCAGAATTTATTCACTCAACCAATATTTATGGAATATTTACTGTGTGCCATTTTGGGATACAGTCAAGAACCAACCAGAATCTCTGTCCTGGCTGAGCTCATAATTCATGGTGGGAAATGTGCAAGAGATAAAAACCGTAACTGACAGCAAAGTGCATGCTCTAACAGAAGTTAACTGGTACCGGGCTCCTTCTAAAGCGAAAAGAGTGGGCAAGAAGTGAACTGTGATTTTAAATTCAGGGACCAGAGGTAGCTTCTAGGTACATACGTTCTCCTATGCCAAGGAGGGTCTTGGGGTAAGAAAGTAGGCCTAAGTCTACACTGGGGAGTGAGGAAAGGGTCCAGGAAGAGTATCAAGTGATTGCACCAAGTCTTCTGCCTTTGAGTCGTTAAGAAACCTGCATTTCCAAGAAAGCCAGCCTGCTGGGAGTGATGTTTTGTTAGAATCACTCCAGCTGTCCTGTGACACCACATCGGGGGCAAGTATATTCATATATGCTTCTCATCTACCACATCTAGGGCAAGTAGATTCATATATGCTTCTAATCTAAAAAAAATGCCACAGCTTAAAAATTAAAAGAAATAAAATTAAATAAAAAAATGCCACAGCTATGAGGCTCATAGAGAGAACACGGGGGAGAATTAGAAGTGAGAATACAATTTCTAGTTATAATAATATATCATTATAGAATATAGAATATATTGAATAGAATACACATAGAATGGAATTTCTTGTTATTACTATTGGTATTGTTATCATAATGAGTATCAGGAACAATATCCAAATAGGTAAAGGTAAAGGCCCTCCCGTTGATCGTCGATTTGCTCGAGCGGGCCCAGTAACGTCTCCATTGGAGACTTTGTTGTTACTGTGTCTGGCATATCGAATACTCTCGGTAGCTTGCCGGGCTCTCCGAATATCCAAATAACTAAATAGAATTTAGCTTAATTTCTTTCTAAATGGGAATTTAAATATTACTACTACTATTATTTTGGCGGGCCTCCCAAGAGATGCTCAGAGACCCAGGGTCCATCCTGGTCATTTTTGGTCAACCAGGCCTGAGGTTCAGTGTGGTCAGGAATGACTGAGACCAGCTGGCAAGGCTTTTGGGCCTCCAGGACTGCTACCAATGATGCTCAGGGTACCATGTGGTGCTGGGGATCAAAATGAGATTGGTCGGGGCTGGAGAGATAGCACAGCGGGTAGGGTGTTTGCCTTGCATGCAGCCGACCTGGGTTTGATTCCCAGCATTCTATATGGTCCCCTGAGTACCGCTAGGAGTAATTCCTGAGTGCAGAGCCAGGAGTAATCCCTGTGCTGTGCATCACCAGGTGTGAACCAAAAAGCAAAAAAAAAAAAAAAAAAAAAAGGAGATTGGTCACATATAAGGTAAGTGCCTTAACCTTGTACTAGATCCAGTCCTTGAATATTTTTAAACAAAAAATTAGCCTACATCCACAATTCATAATAGAAAAAATAGCATGAAGGTGTGAGTTAATTACACATAAAATGTTTTTACAACATTAGTATTTAAATTACTTCCATGGACCGTACCAATGGCTTTACATTGATAATTTTACTGACTTTCCTAAATTAAAAAAAAAAGTCACTGCTGTTATCCTTAACCTATTTTATATAAAGAAACTTCCTGGGACAAACAATGGTGGAGTAATATTAGTCTATATGTCCACGTAAGGGCTGTTAACTGCTGAGTGATAATATATTTCACCAATAAATGCCATGCAGCAAAAGCTTTTTGTAGTTTTGCTCTTTTTTTGGGACTCAGATTTGTTGATGACAAAACTAAAAGTACTTTGTTTATAAATAAAAACAACAATTTTGTTTCAGAATCACTTTCCCTCCTTAATTTATCATCAACATTTCTAAAATCAGACCTAGGAGTAGTAAAGAATTAGGTCTGGGGACACAATCATGGTCTTATTATAATAAATGTTTAGCCTACTCCAATTATTACAAAATCAGAACAGCGAGAATACTCAGAGTCAGAATCACTTTTGATTTACAAGAGCTTGCAGAAATAATATAGAGTCCCAGAACTATCTCTTACCCGGCTTCCTTGAGTGGTTTGAATTTACAATCATCGTTCATGATCCAGAATATGATAAGTGCCAGGAAAATAACTTTGGTACAATATTATTAGCTCAAATGCAGACCTTATGTCTCCAGTTTTTTTTTTTAATTTTTTTACTTAGTTCGGGGAACATCTAGTTTTGTGGGATTTTACTACAGATAGAGATTTGTGAATTATATAGGTACACAACTGTTTCATCACCAAAAAAGAGACTATTCCTTTGAGGACAACCTGACCATATCTTGTCCCTGGTAAGACTGGCACTGGGCCTTAATGACTCTGAGGATGTTTGTCAAGGGACTCATACAGCACATAACCTTTGAAATTGATTTTGTTGACTCAGAATAACAAAGTGCTTTTTTGCTCGCATCTCTTCCTGACTGCTCTGACATCACAGGGGAAACAAGTCTTGCTATCAGAAGGGAAAAGTCTATGACTTTCCTGCTCACAATAGGCTTGCTCAAAGCCCGCTCAACAATTGGGGCTATTTAGACCATGTCCCTACTTAGCATTTTCCAAGAAAGGATTGGAAAGTTTCACAGGAGGTCACGGGAAGACAGAATGGCATCGTCCTGCAAACACTCATGGCTTGACATTCGCACGTGATGTACTTGGTCACAAAGTCCCCAACTCTGTCTCAGGTCAGATCATCCTCAGCACCTAACTAAGCACCCCAAACAGGAACTTTGAGAAAAAGCTCAAGTGAAGTGTAGAAATGCAGTGTCCAATCAAAACACTAGTCCGTAACTGTTTTTTCACAAGCTCACAAATGCTACTAAGCTCTTTTAGAAAACCGAGGAAGTGGGAATACTTTCCAGTGAGTTTTATGAGATCAACAATGCCCTAACACCCACAATGGCCATGTCAGGAATGGAAACGCAGCCAATTTTCCTCATGCACATTGTATAATAACCCCTTTGGCTGGCTTGTGTCCCCTTCGATTTCCTGAGTAATGACACTGACTTTACTATGCAAACAAGGTGACTCATGGCAGGGCTCGGAATGGGGAGGGGTTAGCAGAAGTGCCAACCACGGGAATAGATGGTTCGTCTTTCAGCCCTATGATATTAACCTACTCACTACACACTTCGGGGAGGGGTTAGGAGTCTGGGGGTGGTGCCCAAACATAGACTGGTGATTTAATCAGTCACTCCAGCACTCATCCTTTTGCAATAAAACTGAAATTGTTATGTTTAATAACTTTTTCTAGATTCTGGTGACTTCTAGCAAATTATTGAACTGGTTAGGGTGAGAGGAATGTCTAAATGTATAGGCAGTCACTAAGAAGTGCAGAGGACCCTGTCTTCTCCTCTCTCCTCGACTTTTGGTTGGTATTTGAAGTGGTACACTTTGTCCTTAACTTGTGGGGTTTATATGAGCTCTGGGTAGTTAGCATCAGATTGAACCGCTGTACAACGATAAATCCCAGATTGAAGGTGAAACAGAATAAACAAGTGGAAAACTCATTAACTAAATATCAGTAAATCACAAATTCACCATCATGGCCAAGTCCTTTAGCTCAGGAATGCAAAATCGCCTTCACATTTGAAAATAAAACCAATTTGTTTTCCATAGTAAGAGATTAAAGGAGAAGCATGATCATCTCAGTTGATGTAGAAAATGAATTTTAGAAATTTGACCCCCATCATAATAAAATCTAAAAATGAGGCTGGAGAGATAGTACAGTGAGAAAGGCACTTGTCTGGCAAGTGGTCAACCGGTGTTTGATCCCCAGGACTACATATGGTCTCCTGAGCCCCAGCAGGAGTGATCCCTGAGCAGAGCCAGGAGTCAGAAGTAAGCCCTGAGCCCTACTGGTGTGTCCTGAAAAACAAGAAAAATTAATAAATAAAACTAAAAATATCAGCAAACTGGGGAATGGGAAGAAATGTATTCAACCAAATGAAGGTTTGTATAAAAACCCCACTGCTTAATCTTATTGGATAATTTTAAGTGTTACAGCTGAGAATTGTAACATCCTTTCCCCATCACTTTTATTCAGCATCATACTACACATCCTGGCCAGTGAAATACAAAAGAGAACAGAGATAAGAAGCTAAAGCTTGAGGACTGGAGAGGTAGTACAGGAGGGAAGGTGCTTGCCTTGCATGTGGCTGATCCCATTTCCATACCCTGGCTCCACATAAAATCCCTTGAGCACTATCAGGAGTGACCCCTGAGCCAGATGTCAGTAATAAGCCCCTAGCACAGCTAGCTGTGTCCCACCCTCACTCCCCCCCAAAACTCCCAAAGGACTGAAAAGGTAGAAGTAAAGTTGTCTTATTTGCAGGTAACACTGAAAATCCAAGTACTCTACAACAATACTGTACCACTGTCCTCCCATTGTTCATTGATTTGCTTGCACGGTCACCAGTAACGTCTCCATGTCTCCATTGTGAGACTTGCTGTTACTGTTTTTGGCATATTGAATATGCCACAGAGAGCTTGCCAGGCTCTGCCGTGCGGGATACTCTCGGTAGCTTGCCGGGTTCTCCAAGAGATAAGGAGAAATCGAACCCGGGTCGGCTGCGTGCAAGGCAAACGCCCTCCCCACTGAGCTATCGCTCCAGCCCACAACAATACAAGCTCTTAGATCAAATAATTGAATTTAGCAAGATTTTAGGACATAAGATCAATGTAAAAAAAGACATTTATTTTCTATATTTTAATTGTAAACAGATATAAAAGGAAATTCAATATACTATTTACTAGTATCAAAACATCAAACACTTAAAAATTAATTCAGGGGCCAGAGAGATAGTACAGTGTACATAGTACTTACACATACAACTGGCCTTAGTTTGATCCCCAACATCTCATATGGTCACCCAAGTCCCACAAGGAGTGATTCCTGAGTACAAGCCCGGAGTAACCCCTAAGCAATGCCAGGTGTAACCCCCAAACAAATTCCCCTAGAGAAGTAGAGGAATTATGTTTATGGACTGAAAAATCTTATTATGATTAAGATATCATACATTGATCTTTAAATCTAAAGAAGTTAAAACAAAATAACAGCACATTTTTGGAGTTAAAATTGGAAATTTGATCCTAAAATCTGTATGGGAATTGGCAAAAGTTCTAAAATGACATAAAAAAGACAATATACTTGTTAGTAAGTACCAGAGAAGATGCTGAAAATCTTTTCTAAATTGCATATAAAATTGACATAAGGAAAATAACCTGCAATATGAAACCATAAAAATCTCCCATTTCAGGCCGGAGCGATAACACAGCGGGTAGAGTGTTTGCCTTGCACGCAGCCGATCTGGGTTCGATCCTCAGCATCCCATATGGTCCCCCCAAGCACCGCCAGGAGTAATTTCTGAGTGCTGAGCCAGGAATAACCCCTGAGCATTGCTGGGTGTGAGCCAAAAAAAAAAAAAAAAACCCCAAAAACCTCCCATTTTGGCGTCCCAGATCGGGGTGGGTGAGACCCCTCCATACCTCAAGGAACCCAGCCCTGGCAGCCAAAAACCTCCAGAACTCAACCACCACCATGGTCATGGCCACTCTCCACATGCTCGGGCCAAGCTTCACTCATGAGTGAAATGTTCCTGGACACTTCAAAGGATACACCCTACCTACACTCCAAGAGTACCACACCACATTTGATGGGGTTCAAAGTAGGAGGCAATCAATCATAGAGGGAAATATTATATATATATATATACATACATACATACATATATATATATAAGGGCTAGAGCGATAGCACAGTGGTAGGACGTTCGCCTTACAAGCGACCAACATGGCCGACCCGAGTTCGATTCCTCCGCCCCTCTCGGAGAGCCCAGCAAGCTACCGAGAGTATTCGATATGCCAGACACAGTAACAACAAAAGTCTCCAATGGAGACGTTACTGGGCCCGCTCGAGCAAATCGACGATCAACGGGAGGCCTCCTTTACCTTTACCTTATATATATATAAAGCACACAAGGCTTAACCTTTAACAACATGTCAGTGAAGGGCTTAATGGCCCCTGGGTGAAATACAACAATCTTCACACTCTTTCCTCTAAGGATACTTTTTTGTAGCATTTTCAGTGTTTTTTCACAACAAAAAATACAAAATATATTATTTTGGTTCTGCTTTGGGGCAGGGATTGGGGTTTGGGATGGAAACATCCGAAATATGATGGTGGTAAGGTGTAATGGTGGTGGAATTGGTGTCTGAATATTAAATGTAATCAAATATTGTGAACCACTTTTAGAAAATAAAATCATTTTTTTAAAAAATCTTTCATTTCTCATTTATTGGATTGTCTGAAGTAGAAAAGATTAACCTACAACCCAGCAGATCCTTCCCTAGATATTTATCCAAGATTAAGTTAAAATACATGTCCTCTAAAAGATTTGCATGCCCATAGTCAAGGCTGTTTTATTTACAGTAGCCAAATGCCATAAACAACCCAGTGTTCACCAAATGAATGGATAAAGAAAATATAGCATGTTCATACAACACAGCTCAATAGAAATATGAAATGAGAGACTATTGATACACACAGCACAGATAAATCTCAAACTCAGCACACTGGACACAAATGAACCGAGACTCTATCATTTTAAGAGGAAGAACTGGGAAAACAAACTGATGACCATAGATGTTGGAACTATGCTGACTATGGGATATAGGGACCAATGGGAGGGAACCAAAAGGGACTTTCCTGAGGTGAAGATGTCATCCACCATCTTGACTGAGGTGGTGACTGGCTGTCTGTTTTTTTGTTTTTATTTGGTTTATGGTCAGACCTGGCGGTGCTCAGGACTTACTTCTGGCTCTGTTCTCAAAGGTCACACTTCTGGAGGGGCTCGAGGACCATATGGGATGCTGGGGACTGAACCCTGGGTCAGCCATGTGCAAGGCAAGTGTCCTACCCTGACTCCAGCCCTGACTGTGTACTTCTATCAAAACTCATGGGGTCGGGGTATGGGACAAGTTAGGGGAATGTGAAGAGATATTATAAGGGTTAAGGAATTTGTCTTGCATGCAGTCAAGGTGGGTTTGATCTTTGGTACCACATATGGCCTCCCAAGTCTCTCTAAGAGTGACCCCTGAGCACAGAGCCAGGAATAAGCCCTGAGTACTGCCAGGTATGGCCCAATAACAATAGCAACCATAAAACCCTTAAATAGACTGCATTTAATTGTATATCTATTTTATCACAATAATAATAATAATTTAAAAAAAGCAGCTTTATAGGACTTCAGAGCAACCGTTCTAGAGAAGGAGCCTAGCTTTTTTTTTTTTTCTTTTTTATTAGTGAAAAACCATGAGGCACAGTTATAGGCCCACAAATTTTGTGCTTGGGGAAACGGAGCCTAGCTTTTTAAACTGACTTTGAGCAAAGAAGTCACAGATCAACAACCTCTTATGGGAATTCAGAGAAAACTCTGTTAAAGGCAGAGAAAACCATAACACTTCCATTGGAGCTGGGGCTTAGAAAAGTGATTCAAAGGCCCTTCCTTGGGGTGGCACTCGTGCTGACCTGTTCTGGCCATAAAAACTCAGGGAATGCTCCTGTGAGTCAGAGGACAGAGTCCTTACTCTGCTCTGAGCAGAGACTTTCTAAGAAGTGAGATGAGACTAAACAAACAAGCTGATGATGGCCTGTGGTCAGTGCAAGAGGGTGGAACCTAGGGCAGGGAGGACCCACAGAGCCAGAGAGTAACTGGGAAAGGCCTCTTCGAAGTGACGTTGAGTCAGGCTCAGGACTGAGGGGCAGTGAAACATTCTAGACAGCAGAGGTCAAGGATCCTGAGGCAGGAAGGAAGGCAATGTGCCTGCAGAGACGCTGGGCTGGCCGTACAGTGGGTCCAGGCAGGGAGGAGGCTAGCTTAGGGAGAGAGCCGAGGCAGCAGGGGCAGGAGGGACTGTGAGTGGGACAATGGGAACTACTGCAGGAAGGTGACATGTGGCCCAAGGGAGCAGGGACCAGGGTTGGACAAGGCTGTAAGCCAAGAAACCAGCGTGGTACTGGCCCCACTGGTAGGGGCATGTGTCAGGGCCCTGCGGCAGAGAGGGAAGAAAGGCAGACATCATACCTACTGTTGAAACATGGCGAACTGGGGTTGCTGATGCAACGGGAAAAGGGGGAAAAGGGGGGAAAGGAAGGGTGGGCGAGACAATGCAAAGCATGTGTCTTTTTATTTTTGGTCGACTGGTTTGTGTTATTTTTTTGTTGTTGTTTGTGCCACACTTAGCTGTGGTCACTTAGCTGTGCTTACTCCTGGCTCTGTGCTCAGAGATCACTCCTGGTGGGGCTCAAGGTATACCATATGGGGTGATGGGGATCAAACCCAGGTCGGTTGCATGCTAGATAAGCCCAGTCCTGGTTGTACTATCTCTCCTCATCTCCAAACCCCCAAGCAAGGCAACTGTCTCAATCCCTGTATTATCTCTCCAACCCAACACTTTCTTTCTTTTTTTTTCCCTTTTTTGGGTCACACCCAGCAATGCACAGGGGTTACTCCTGGCTCTTCACTCAGGAATTACTCCTGGTGGTGCTTGGGGAACCATATGGGATGCTGGGAATCGAACCCAGGTTGGCCGCGTGCAAGGCAAATGTTCTACCTGCCATGCTATCGCTCCAGCCCCACCAACACAAAACTTTCTCTGTAAGATCTCTTAGTACCCAGCAAGTGGCAATGTTAAGGATGCACAAGATACAAGAGTCTGAGTTGAAACTCAGGAGGTCTGGGCTGGAGATACAAAGTTCTCGGCCATTGCTACAAACACAATATTGAAGTACTGAAGTCAGAGGGAGTTGGGTGCAGGGAAGGAAGTGCCACAGCGTAAAAGGAAGTGGTTGTGGGGCTAAGGCAGAGCACCAACATGCAGGCCATGAGTCTGAGACCCAGGACTGCCCATACACCAAGGACACACCCAGTGGCACTGCCATTATATGGTTCCCGACACCACAACCACAAGTGTTTGACTCCAGCACATTGCAACAAAAGGGTGAAACTACCCACTCCCCGACACACACACACACACACATACCTACCCACGCCCCAGTGAGCACCACAACCTCCAAATCATTGCAAGAACAAAAGGAAGGGAAGGAGAAAAAAATTTAAATTAGGAGTAATAAATTTAGAAAAACATACATATGGGTCAGGAAGCCACTGGTAGAGCATATTTCCAGACGTGTGAGACCTTGGTTCAATCCTGGGCACTGCACACCCCCTCCCTGCTGCCCTGCTAGGCGTGACGCTGGCAGGCTGTGGAACAAGGCTTCTCCTGCCAGGACTCAGCTACCAGTCAGGAGGTGCACACAGCTGTGACTTACCGGGAACCGTGAGAACTGAGAGCGATTTTTCAGGCAATTCGTTCACCCGCTTGCTGTTCTGAATCCAGAAAATATTGACGGGCTCAGGTGGGCCCTCTGCCTGACACGTGAGGTTGAAGGCCGTGTTCTTGGTGACATTTAGGCTCTCAGGCTGGCGAATAAAGTGTGGCAGTCCTATAGAGAAAAAACAGCTAAGTGAAAGAATGTTGGAGGCCCACAGCCAGGCAAGCCCTTGAGGGGTGAGGAAAGTGTCACTTTAACTTGACTGTAGATTGTTTTGATTTTGTTCTGTTTATGGGTCACACCCAGTGTCACTTGGGAACCACTCCAGGCTTGGTGCTTAGGGGTCACTAATCAAGGGACCAAACCTGGAACTTCTACATGCAAAGCATCAACTCAGCCTGAGGGGCCATCTGCACAGCCCTAGATTTTTTTAAATGTACCACTTCAGGCTTGAAATGGTCAGTTTCCACCTTCTAAAACTCAGGTAAGAAAGAAAAAAAAAAAAGAAATTCTCATCAGTGGAGCTGCAACTGGCTTTCTAGGACACTAACCATAGCGGTTTGTGGGGATGATTCAGAACTGGTTCCACCAGACAGGAGGCCTGGCAATTCCAAATTCAGGGGGCTATTAAGCTCTGGGGAAAGGCTGGCAGACTTCCAGTCTACACACTAGGAAATAAATTAAAAACAAAGCCACCAAACAGGTCTGGAGGAAAAGTCGATGGCATGTGAAACATTAAGGCTGCTGAGGATGAATATTTCAATCTGTGCATTGCATGGGTGCAGGTGGGAGACATTCTTCAAGGTTCAAGCTAATGAATGCAGTTAGTGGTCACACAAGTACCATCCTGAGATCTCCCACTATAAATCAAGAATCAAGGCGATTTAGGAAAGGGACATTCAGAAAATCCCAGAGAAAGCCAGTTGGTGCATATCTGGGACAGGTGCCAAAAATTTAACAGGTTTACTTAAATGTCCTTGGGCATTCAAATAGTGTTCACCGGGGACTGGGAACTCTCAGATGGGTTCCAGCAGGCATAATTTTTTAAAGCTTCAAAACGCTTTGTTTTATTTTTATTTCTTTTAATTAGAATCCGCTGGAACCCAAAGTGGTTCTGCATTTTGCTAGGATTCTGAAAAGTTAAACAACTCTTCAAACTCCTCAAAGTATTTTTCCCCCTAAATACAGGAATCCTAAATACAGAAATACAGGAATTCTCCCCCAATCCCAGCTGATGCTAACAAAAAGCTGAGACACTAGCTATCCAACCTGGAGGAGCCCCTGCAAAATTCAGAAAGATTTCTGTGGGGACGGGAATGGGACAAAGAGAGGGAAGGGGTGATGTTGTCTCTCTCAGCAGATTGTGTGGGTATCAGGTCCAAGAGTTCACAGAGATTGCACAGTGATGCCAGAGAGACAATATAGCGGTTAAATAAGTTTTCCTGTCACGTGGCCAAGCTGGCTTTGATTTGTAAAGCATCCCCTGGGTCCTGCTAGAAGTGACCCTTGAGCACCAAGGCAGGAGTAAGCCCTGAGCATAGTAGCCAGGTGTGCACCCAATAACCAATCCCAGCAAAGAACACATAGCAGAGAAGCCTTTTCATGGGAGATGCTTCTAGTCAAACTTTCCTAAAAAAGCTAATTGCTGGCCCCTAAGCCTAAGATGAGGAGGGTCAGGAGGAAGAAGAAAAGGGTGTTTCATTTCCCAGTGGCCCTGGGTTGACAGTCTTTTTGTCAGGCCCTGCCAATGCAGACCCAGGCCGCCAAGTCCAAGCCCTGGGCTGACCTGGGCTGGCTCTCTGTTGCCTCCACTCATGTGCTCCACCCAGGATCAGGTGCCTGGGGCAGAGATGTCTTGTCTGATGCCCCATTTCTCACCTTCACCAAGGCACTCCAGCCCCATCCCCTCACCCCCCTGCCACCTGCTTCCCCCCACCCCATCTTGTCATTCATACACCAAACAGTACCCCTGACCATTCCCAGATGAAAAATGTCACAGATAAACTGCTGAGTCAGCTAGGGATGCCACCCAGCTTTCTGTTCTCACGTGCAACATAGGTTAGGCAGGAAAGCGCCAAGTAACAATAAATCTCCACCTGACAGGTACATGCTATCTGGTGCCAGCACTGAGAATGGGGTAATGAAATGCATAAAAAGTCTTCGCTGTTTTTCTTTTGTTTTTTTCTTTTTTTTAGGGTTGGAGCGGTAGCACAGTGGGTAGGGCGTTTGCCTTGCACGCAGCCAACCTGGGTTTGATTCTTCCTTCTCTCTCGGAGAGCCTGTTAAGCTACTGAGAGTATCCCACCTGCATGGCAGAGCCTGGCAAGCTCCCCGTGGTATATTCAATATGCCAAAAACAGCAACAACAGGTCTCACAATGGAGACGTTACTGGTACCCACTTGAGAAAATCGATGAACAATGGGAGGACAGTGCTACAAGTTTTTCTTTTGATGGGTAAGTAACTTGAGTTCAAGAAAATCTTAATATCCTAGAGCAGAGCTAAAACTTTGGGTTGAGTTCATTTAATTATCACCTAAATTTTATAAAGAGGGTCCCCTTCCCTCACTCTTGCACAATTTTCATGCTTGTGAAGCTGCAGGCTTCAGATACAGAATTCTAAACTGGCACCCCACCCTGGGAAGAGGTCACAGGAAGCAATTCGCACAGGCTTAAAAAGCCAGCCTGTGGCAGGACCAGAGATTAGTAAGGAAGGTAGGGTGCTTGTCTTGCATGCAGCTGATCTAGGTTGAACCCTGCTACCACATATAGTCCTCCTGAAAACCTGCCAGGACTAATTCCTGAGTACAGAGCCAGGAGTAAGCCCTGAGCACAGTTGGGTATGACATCAAAATTGAAAAAATTGAAAAGCCTGTGGCAATTGCTTGCTCTGGCCTTCAGGCTTACCTTGTACCTCAATGTAGATGGGTTCGGACACGATCTCTTCATCATTAATTTTCATCTTACAGACATAAGATCCATTGTCTGAACGCTGCACTTTGGTTATGCTTCAGAGAAAACACATAAGATATTTAGAGTGACTTCCTTAAAATCCTCTAAAGAAACAAAACATTCTTTAACTTCTTGCTCAGAGATAATATCTATCTTTCTTTCTTTCTTTCTTTCTTTCTTTCTTTCTTTCTTTCTTTCTTTCTTTTGTTTTTGCTTGCTTGGGGGCCACACTAGCTGGTTCAGGGATTATTCCTGGCTCTATGCTCAGAGATCACTCCAGGTGGTGCTCAAGGGAACCATGGTGGGGCTGGGAACTGGTCATTTGCCGTGTTCAAGGCAAACCCCCAATCCCCAGGATGGTTGATCTTATATCAATATGGCTTGAGCTTGGAAGCCAGATATTTGGTCAAACCTCGTTCTAGATATTTCAATGAAGGAATCTTTCAGATGTGATTAACATTTAAATCAATAGAGTCAGAGTAAACCAGATTATCTTCCTCAACCTCTGAACCTCTGGGCGGGCCTCATTCATCTAAACAGTTGAGAGCTTCTGAGGTCCCTTGAGGAAGACTGAATTCCACTTTCAAAGTGCCTTAGATTCAAGATGGGAGCATCAGTTTTTCCTGGGTTCCAGTCGACAGAGTTGTGATCTCTCTCTCTCTCTCTCTCTCTCTCTCTCTCTCTCTCTTTCTCTCTCTCTCTCACACACACACACACACACGATCTAATGATGCTGTCACTTGTCCTCATTTAATGGTAGCTACTACTCCAGGGGTCTCAAGATTAGGGCACCAGCCCTTCAGGCATTTGGCAAGCTCACAGACTTGTTGTTGAGGATGTAATAACTGGGACATGTGGGCTAATTTCTGGGCTAGAGGCAATTGCTCCACATCTCAGATGACCTGCTAAGGCCAGAACCCAGTTACATTCTCTCTGCACACAATGCATTTTGCTTGATTTTTCGGGGATGGAGTCACAGCAGGCAGGGTGTTGCCTTGAATGTGGTCAACAATTTCATCACAGTACCACATATGGTCCTCTGAGCCTATCAGGAGTTATCCCTGAGGCAGAGTCCCCAGTATCACTGGGTATATAGCCCCAAACCAAACCAATTAAAAGTCAATAAATTAAATGAAGGTCCAGCCTTCCTTTGTCCTGCCAGGACTTGACCAACCCCACCAGGGTGGAGTGACTGACTGTCCCCGCAGGCCCAGTCACTCCCTGTGAACAGGTATAGCACCTCCCTACAGATGTGCTATGAAAAGGTGAAGCTGAGAATTCCTCATATGTTTCCCACTTGGGGGTTCCAAACCTCTGAAAAAGGTGCATGGAGCTGGGGTGGGAAGGGAAAGCAGGGACTACGATGCTCTCAGCTCTCTCGTTAGCACAGAGGTACTGGTTTCCTCTCTTCCCATCATAGTCAAGCCAAGAAGAGCATGGTTAGAGGAAAATGAAAAAGAAAGACTTGGTTGTGTCAGTGACTTTCTTCCCTGCAACCCCCTCAACCCCCAACTTATTTATCCTAAAGCAAAATGAAACTTAACCCACACCCTGTCAAAGGTTGAAGCTAAAAGAGATGGGCAGGGTCAAAGGGGCCTGACTAGCTCACAGATCCCACAGACCACAGTAGTGTGGGTTCTGCTTTAAATATCAAAGAACAGGACATCCAAGAGATAGTACTGGGGTTTGGGCATTTGCTTTGCACGTAGCTAATCCCATTCCATCCCTCCCTAGCACTCCAAATGGTACCTTGAGCACTCCTGGGAATGATTCCTTGAGCACTGCTGAGAATGATCCCTGAGCACAGAGGCAAGAATAAGTCCCGAACCACCCCAGGTGTGGGCCCAAGTATTCACATCTAACTTGGACTGGAATCATTCAACCTGGGGCAATTCCAAAGTGGTTTTCTGCAAAGGGAGCATCACTTGACACACCCAATGTCCTGCTGCAATCAGAAAAACTCCATACCTCAGGACAGAGAGAATGAGACTGTCTCAGGTCACAGAGGATGCCAACTAGAGCTTAGAGTCCAGAGCAAGGCTCTCACTGCCACTCTGTATGGCCCTGACCTAATGGAGGCTCTCAGTGACCACTGACCAACTTAATTCTAAAGCTGTATGTGCATGGGGCTGAAGCAATAGCACAGCGGGTAGGGCGTTTGCCTTGCATGTGGCCAACCCGGGTTCAATTCCCAGCATCCCACATGGTCCCCTGAGCACCACCAGGGGTAATTCCTGAGTGCAGAGCCAGGAGTAACCCCTGTGCATCACCAGGTGCGACCCCAAAAAGTAAAATAAATAAATAAATAAAATAAATAAAGCTGTATGTGCATGAAGGTCTTCGCAAAGGCAAACAAACACAGTAACACAAACCCTTCCTGCATAAAAGAAACCAGGATAGGTGGGCCAGCATGTGAGAACAGGGCTGGGAGGCAGCTGCTCATGACCTAGAGTATCCTGGAAGAGGATGGCTCGACTTTCAGATGATGGCATATTCCAGATATTCGTGCCGGCACTTGTGACATTTTCCTTGCCATTTCTTTAGTCACTCAGCTTAGGCTTGTCAAAGCAATGGGGCCAACTGAGGTGTCACTAGCCCAGTCCTCAGAATTCTCTATTCCCGTGTCACTGTGCATGTAGCCCCATCCATAGCAAGAGGCAGCAGGTGTGTTGGGAAGAGGAAGAAGAGAGAAAGAGTTGGCAAGTGAAAGGTCTGGGAGAGCCACCTTGCTTTAAAAGCTCCTCACCCACCATGTCATTTGGATGTCTCTCATTTTGGGGGGTACAGGAGGGGCTTCCAAGCAAGTTCATGTCTAGGTGCCCCACCAACAATTTTTGGCCAACCAGGCTGTCGATTCAGCTCAAGGGCTAAAGGATATGATGCTGCCCTGGACCTGCAGGGGATACCTGGCCATCCCCCCTCCTTCAAGCCATGGCAGTGGTGGGGGCCTCTAAGGTCACACCTGGTGGTGCTCAGAGGCCTCCAGGGCTATACCCAGTGATGCTCAGGGGACCAGGTGGTGCTGAGAATTGAACCCAGGCTGGCGCATGCCAGGCAAGTGCCCCATCTCCCAGCCCCAGAGAGCTCTCATTCCTGCAGTAAAACACTATCCTTTCACTGGGAGAGTGCTGAGGATTTGACCTGACTTATCTGCCAGGTGGGAAGTGGTCTTCCAGAATCCAGAGCATCTGCTAACAGACACTTCTGGGGGAAGCAAAGATCAATTTAAAAAAGACCAACAAGGCTGACCATCAGCTGTGCTTGTTCCCTAATGGATTCTGCTAATATTATAATTATTATCATAGGAACACAAAAAAAAGGCCAATTTTTTTAGGTACAAGTCTTTTGCTTTTGAATCAGCAAAAGCAATGACAGGAAAGTTTTTAAAAGTGTGTGTGGGGTGGAGGGTAGGTAAGACAGAGAAGAGACCAGTATGACAATAATAGTTGGAAATGGTCACGCTGGACAAGAACTGAGTGTTGAAAGTAGGTAAAGAGATATACATGACAACCTTTCAGTAACTATGTTGGAGAGAGAGAGGGAGAGAGGGAGAGAGAGACAGAGAGACAGAGAGAGACAGAGAAGTGCCTGCCCTAGAGGCAGGCTGCAGATGAGGTGGGGGTTGCTGAGAAGGAAATTGGGGACACTGGTGCTGGGATATGTACACTGGTGGAGGGATGGGTGTTGGAACCCTGTATGACTGAAACCTAATCATGAAAAGCTTTGTAAGGATTTATCTTACAGTGATTCAATAACAAAATAATTTTAAAAATATACACAGGCTTGAAAAAATGGTAAAGCTGGACTGGAGAGATAGTACAGCAGACAGGATGCTTGCCTTACAAATGGCTGACCCAGGTTTGATCCCTGGCACCCCAGATGGTCCCCCAAGATTCCAGGAGTGATCCCTGAGTGCGGAGTCAGGAGTAAGCCCTGAGTACAAAAAAAGTAATGATTCTTTTTAAAGAAATTTTAAAAATGAAGAAAATAAATATATACCTGAAGGAAGTGATGATTGTGGTAGTTCGGTCATCAGAATAATACTGAGTGATCACATGATGTGCCCCAAGCAATTCCTTCCCATCTTTCCACCAAGAAATGATGGCACTATCATGGTACATGTTAGGTACGCTGATGGAACAATTAAACTTGACATCTTTATGTTCAGAGAGGACAATGCGGCCAACTGTGTGATTGAATGCAAGAGGTGGCAGGAGCTTTGTCCCAGCAGTGGTTGCCTTGGAAAGAATCCCATTCACTGGACTTGATCCTCTGTCCTGGGTTGATGAGAACAGCAAGGCAGGCTGGCTCTCATCCTGGGAAGATGGCGTGTGGTCAGTTTGCTGGGTCCCTGGGACAGGGTCCTGGGAGGGCAGGTTGGTCATGGCTTCTATCTTCACCTCAGCGAGAGCTGTGAAACAAAACAGATGTGCTGGGATGTGTCATCTTGACAATAATAGAGTTTCCCAGGGAGATTCCCCACTTATGAAGAGTAGCTGCCATGCTGAGGCTGGTAGGTGCCAGGGTCTGGGCCCAGATCATTGGAGCCTTCTTAGAAGGGGGAAGGCTTGCTTCTCCCACAAGGGAGCATAAAATGAGGTCTCCATAACCATGCCACCGGACTCCGCACCAGGCTGTTTCACATGGGGCGAACCAGAGGGAGGCGGGTGAAAGCCCTCTCCAACCCAAGGGACCCAGCTCTGGCAGCCAAAAGCCTCCACAATTCAACCACCTCCATGCTCAAGGCCACTTCCCACATGCTTGGGCTGAGCCTCACATATGAGTGAATATATTCCTGGACACATCATAAGACACTTCCTACCCATTCTCCATAATTACCACACCGCATTTGATGGGGTTCAGATAGTAGGCAACAAATCATAGAGGAAAATATGTATATATATACCAAAGCTCACATCACCCAAACTTTAACAACATGTTAGAGATATTCTATAGAATGTCTTAATAGCTCCTGCCAAAATAAAGAATCTTCACACTGCTTCCTGTAGAAATACTTTTTTGTAAGCATCTTCAGCAGTTCTTCATAACAGACAATATGAAATATATTATTTCAGTTGTGTTTTGGGACAGGGCTTGGGTCTTGGGATGGAAACATCCCGATTTTGGTGAATATTAAATGTAATCAAATATTGTGAACTAACTTATAAAATAAAAAAAAATTTAAAAAAGAGAAGGGGGCAGGCCAAGTCCCTGCCCTGTTGTATGACCCATCGCTCCTGCTTCCTCTCGCATTTAAATGGCCCCGCCATGTACCCCATCTCAGAGAAAAGCTGCTGCTCACTGAACCTGGAAGGCCTGAGATGCCACGGGGCTAACTCTCATAGTGCCACAGCTTCTGGAGCATGCAGCCACATACACAACTGTGCAACATCTCCAAAGTTCACAGTACTGACAGTCCAGCATAGATACAGAAAATTAGATGGGATAGCTGTACAGAAGCCCACTAAGTTTGATTAGCAACAACAATAGTACAGAAAACTCAACTAGCATCTAACAGTTCAGCAGATCCTCAGACAATAACTTTAGTAACACCATCATGAAAGACATATTGTAACAAGCAATATAAAGTAAATGATTTTGTGCCTGCTAAGGAGGCAGGCTAGGGGTGGGGTATAAATATCTTGGAACAAGGTAGAGGACAGGTCACACCAGTGGTAAGATTGGTGTTGGAATATTGAATACCTGAAATGACTGTATTATAAGCAACTTTGTAAATCACAGTGTTTAAATACATTTTCAAGTGTGTGTCGGGGGGAGAGGGAGAAGGGATTCCCCACTTATGAGGCCACCAAGAAAGAAATGGGGCATCCCAATGAACTGAGTGTGAGTGGAAGTTACTTAAAATACATATGACCACAACTTCTCAATCACTAGTTCATTCATGTGTTCATTCACCTCTTTGAAACGAACGTTTAACCTCATCCCCCTTCATCAAATTACTTTTAGTTGTGGCTAACTTCTTCACGCCCAACTCAACAGCACAACCAGAATGTGATGGTGTCTCAGGTTCCATTTCCCATGGTCTGCTCAAGCTCCCGAGATTAATCCCAACACCACATGGTCCCTGGGGCACTGCTGGGTAATGCCCTGCAGGCCCCAGGCCCTTGCCCTATAAATAGACTCTGCAGTAGATTTGGCTTGTATTGCTTACATTATCAACAAGCAGCCCCATAGAGGCGGGAGCCCAATAAAGATGCCATCCAGATTAAGTAAGTAAAAGTAAAGTAAAGGCCCTCCCGTTGATCATCAATTTGCTCGAGCGGGCCCAGTAACGTCTCTATTGGAAACTTTGTTGTTACTGTGTCTGGCATATCGAATACGTCACGGGGAGCTTGCCAGGCTCTGCCGTGCGGGTGAGATACTCTCGGTAGCTTGCCCGGCTCTCCGAGAGGGGCGGAGGAATCGAACTCGGGTCGGCCATGTTGGCTGCGTGCAAGGCAAACGCCCTGCCGCTGTGCTATCGCTCCAGCGTGTGGTAAACTATACCTTTTCTGTCTGTGTCATTATACCCCATGACATAGCAACTAGACTGCCTAATGTCCACACATCAGGACAGATCCCTGTACTGATAGACACACTACTGCATCTTATCAAGGTTGCAACTGCTCACAAGCAGATGCTCCTACAATTCTTGGGCCTCCATCTAACTCACTTTAAGATTGTGTATGGGGAGGCTGGAGCGATAGCACAGTGGGTATGGTGTTTGTCTTGCATGCAGCTGACCAGGGTTTGATTTCCAGCATCCCATATGGTCCCCTGAGCACTGCCAGGAGTAATTCCTGAGTGTATGAGCCAAAAAGCAAAGAGAGAGAAAGAGAGAGAGAGAGAGAGAGAGAGAGAGAGAGAGAGAGAGAGAGAGAGAGAGAGTAAAGCAGGGGAAGCAACATGTGCTTCTGTTACCAGCTAGGGAATTACTTGGAACTTCCAGCAAAATACTTGACTACTGGAGTGGGTCTGGAAAGGTTTTAGGTTCACTTGGCCACAAGAATTCTTGAAAATACAGACAGGTATAGTTATGTTTTTCACTGTTTTAATGGCATTTTCAGAGTATGCATTATATACTCGGTATTCATTCAAACAGGTTGGCCAAAGCAAATGGATGATATAGTAGGCACAGGAGACCCTGGCTTGGCATTTTGCTGGTTAGTTAAGGGGTACACAGCAGCAATTCCTCCCTACTTGAGGATGTTATACCCTCCCAGATTCCGAGCATGCAAGTACAGGCAGCTGGGCTCTGATGGGGGCATGCCACATCTGGTGAAGAACAAGAGGCAGGGCCAGGATGGGGCTCAGTGCATGCCTCACAGGTGTGAAGTCCTGAGTTTGGTGCCAAAAACAGTCAAAGAAGAGAGGGGCTGTCACTCTTGCCACTTCTTTCCAATATAGTACTGGAGGTACTTGCCATAGCAATTAGGCAAGATAAAGATATTAAAGGCATTCAGATAGGAAAGGAAGAAGTCAAGCTCTCACTATTTGCAGATGACATGACACTATACTTCGAGAATCCTTAAAGACGCCATGAAAAATCTCCTAAAACCAATAGATTTATACAGAAGATTGGCAAATTACAAAATTAATACCCAGAAGTTCATGACTTTCCTATAAACAAATAGAGAGAGATGTTAGAAAAATAATACTGTTCACATTCATGCCTCAGAAAATCAAGTACCTTGAAATCAGTTTAACTAAAAAGGGGAAGGACCTATATAAAGAAAACTACAAAATGCTACTTCAAGAAATAAAAGAGGACACTAGGAAATAGACACATCTCCTGCTCATGGATCAGGAAGATTAACATTGTCATAATGGCAACATTCCCCAAAGCATTTTATAGATTTAGTGCAGTCCCTATAAGTATACCCAAGACATTTTTACAAAGAATTAGATCAAACACTCCTGAAATAGCCAGAATCTGGAAACAACTCGAGGGCCTGAGAACAGAAGACTGGTACTTCTACGGTACATCTACACAATGGAATAGTATGCAGCTGTTAGGAAAAATGAAGTTATGAAATTTGCTTTTAAATGTATGGACTTGGAGAACATCATGGTGAATGAAATGAATTGGAGAGGGATAGATATAGAATGATTGGGCTCATTTTGTGGGATATAAAAAACAGAAAGAAAAACATAAGAGACCAATACCCAAGGACAGTAGAAATAAGAGTCAAGAGGATTGGTCCACAGTTGGAAGCCTACCTCAGATGCTGGGGGAGAAAGCAGCTGGAATAGAAAAGGAACCACCATGATATAGTTGGAAGTGATCATTCTGTGTGCTGCGTGCTGAAAACAAGTAAAGGAACAAACACAGTAACCCCTCAGTATCTGTATCATAAAACATAATATGCCGAAGAGGAGAGAAAGAAACAGAGAGAGAGAAAGAAGAAAAAAGAAAGAAGAAACTCCTGGGGGAGGGTGGCAAGAGGGAACCTGGGGACACTGGTGGTGGGAAATGTACACTGGTGGAGGGATGGGTATTGCAACACTGCATGACTGATACCTGACCATGAGCAGCTTTGTAACTCTGTATCTCATGGTGATTCAAATAAATAAATAAATAAATAAATGGGGGTGGGAAAAAAGAGGGACCAGAGATATTCTTTTATAGAGTATAAGGAGGTAAGGAATTAGTTTTGCACCCCGCTAAGTCATGTTCCATCCCCAGCACCCATACCCTCCCTCCCTCCCCTCCCCACCCCAGCCTGTCAGAGGTGATCTCTGAATGCAGAGCCAGGAGCACTGCAGGGTGTGACACCCCTTCACCCCTTCACCCCCTCACCCACACACACATAGAAGGGGGAAGAAAAGGAAAGAAGAAAAAGAGCAACAGATAGTTAGCTACACTTGAATTTCAAAGAAACAATAAATCCTTTCTAGGGTCATTATTTAAGTGCTTGTTTATCTAAGGCAGGTACAAGCAGGAGCTTCGTCTGGGGACAGAAGAGGGTCTGAGAATTGGTTCCTTGAGCTTCCTCCCCTCCATCTAATTTGGACCACACACATCCCCCAGCTGACACTCCCCAGCCTCCATCCCCAGCCTAGATGGCACTTACACTGCTGCCCAGGGAGAGCTGCCCCCAGCCTCCAGGACAAGAAGCTTCACTATAAGAAACCAGCATGGGGGAGTGGGGGGGACGTAAGGAGGGAGGGGGAGAGGGGCAGTGCAGAGCTCTCTCAAAGGGTAAAATGTGTGCTCTGTATGCAGGAGGCCCAGTGTTCAATCCCCTCCCCTCCCCTCTACAAGGTCCCCAGAACTCCTCCAGAAAGAAGCAGGCCCTGAGAAGAGAGCTGGGAGAATGCCTGAGCACAGCAGGGTAGACCCAACAGGAAGAGAAGAACCAAGCACAGCTCACAGCAGTTATTTGCTGGAGGTCTTGATAGGGTGGCAGC